TTTTTTTTTATTGATGTGTGTGTGTGTGTGTGTGTGTGTGTGTGTGTGTGTGTGTGTGTGTGTGTGTGTGTGTGTTTTGGGGGGGGGTTGGGGGTCATGGGTCGGGGGCGCTCAAGGAATGGTTCGCCGGGCGTAATTCTAGCCAGGACCGCCTCTGACAGAGTCATGTCTACCTTGGAGTTTCCAGTGTTTCACAAATGATAGATATGATTGCATGCTGCTATTTAGGCTTCCCTGCAACCATTAGCCATTGTTAAGGTAACGTGTGCCTCTTCTTCCATTCAGATCTATAAACGACTATTACCTTAACAATCTTTCATTTGCATTTGGTCGATAACTACAGCGGATGACTCTGGATAACCTTACCTTGTCTCCAAAAGGAAAGGAGTGGCGTGCCATTTGGCTTTAAGACTTGCAATGACACCTTTGGATGCAGATGCCGTGTGTTGCATGATCATAAGTAGCAGCGGGGAAAGCAGGATAATATTCCTCATCTTCATTGTATTAACATAAAGTTGTATGAACCTGCACAGAGAGCAAGCGGTATAGTCCAGCACGCCTTTCACGTGTCGGTCGGTCGGTCTGTCGGTCAGTCAGTCTTGTGCCACGTAGTTACTGAAGTTACAGCCTCAACTCAGTTGCATGTCAAACACATGTAGTCATTTTAGCAAAAGAGCCGAAAGAAATCGCAACTGCTCACCGAGAGAACCAGCCGAAATAGAGTCATAGCACCTAACCAGACAACTCATATTACGTCCAAGTTCACAAACTTTAATCTTTGAACAAGTGAAATTACGACAATAAGATGTCTGGAGTGGTTGGACTTGCTATCTACAAACTTGTTGCGGTAAAGTTGGACGTTCGAACCATTATCTTACTCGTAGCTGTAATCTGTCCCTCACCATGTTATTGATCCTGACCGCTACCGCACGAATACAATTACAATGACTTCCGCGGTCTATTTTTGGGCATCTATTAGTAACCATGAACGGATGCTTGCGACCGACACAACTGGCGAGAAGGAGTTTGCCGGTTTGAGTCTGTTTAAATACTTTTAATAAAACTTAATGGTACATGATATGGAGTATTTTGTGTTCTTCTTTCATTGTACGATGTTGCATCCAGTGCAATAATGGCAATAAAGAATAAAGTACGTGTCTTTTCAACCCGTTGGTAGACGAATTAACACAGGCACAGCGATGGACAACTAAGGGGCTTTGGAGTGCGACTCAAACATTTTCCCACCAAAAGCCTGCAAAACCACTGGTAAATTGTTGTTCATTCATCCGTGTGAGGCTTGTTAAATGTGTTTGTTTGTACGATAGTAGATAAAATTGTGGTGAGCTCATTTGTCCTTTGGCAACAAACTAAATTAAATACAAATGAACAAATCAACCCCATGTCATACACAAAAAGACCGACACTTGATAAACACTCAGCCAGCAACTTAATTGAGCAATCAAGCAAGTGTCGTTTATCTAAAGGGCATTTAGCAAATGCCATTGGTCTTTATATCCCCGAAAAAATAAGCACACATTTAAAGCGAGCTTCTTTCATTTAAAAAAAACGTAAGTAAAATTATGCGCATGCGAATTGGTCCTATGTGAACCAATTAAAGACATACATTTTCATGAATTTATAAAAACCCACCTGGACGCCGGGACAGTGTTTAAAAAAGTGCAAAAGAGGACCTTTGGTCACTCTAACGTCAACCATGCTTACTTGACACCATATACTACTTTTCTCTTAGCTATTTAATATAGGTTTAAGGGCCCAAAAAAAGTAAACTTTCTTTTTAAATGTAAGACTCGTATTTTATTGCATTCAAAATTAAAATGGACATATTTATCGATGTATTCATTTATCTATTTATTTAATTAATAAAAGCTGCATAAACAGTATACTCAGATTTAATTGGAACGGTGGGGAACTTTATTTGGCACTGTGGGGATCTAACAAGTTGTTAATTTATGTACTGTAGTTTTCATTGTTGGGTAATTGCACTGCATCATAATGGCTGGTGTTTCTGAACAAGTTGCTACGCTCATGTATATAAACCAGCCAAAACAGACCACAATCCGTGTCAGTGAAAAACAACCATTTGTGAAGGCAGAATGAATTTGCGCAGCTCTTGTACCGGAGCTCATTTGATGGTGCAGATGTATTAATGACTGCAAGTAATGACGCTTCACATTTCCATCTGAATGATAGTTAAAGTCTTTGCCCAGCAAGTCATTTTGAAATCTCGCAAGTGCCATGTGGCCTGTAGCCTGACTCATTAAAATATCCGACTACAACCATTTTCAAAATGTAAAGATACAGGAATGTAACGCTCACCTTTTCTAGTTTCAGCAACCCCCTTGGATGGATGGATGAACGGATGGATGGATGGATGGATGGATGGATGGATGGATGGATGGAGTAGATACGATGCCTGTGCATCATGATGACACATTAGATACGATGGAGTCAATACAATATAATCGATATATGATACTATATGTACAATACATTAGATAGATAGATAGATAGATAGATAGATAGATAGATAGATAGATTTGGTCACTTTTTATGACTTTTTATATTGAGCCTATTTTAGAATGACTGTGCTTGATTGTGCATGATGTCTCCACGCACCCTGCAAACGCAATATAGGGACGGTTAGAATGTAAAAAACGAGATAATGGGACGTTGGGAATGGGACTTGGAGCGCTTACGTGTACGCGCATGTACACACACGCGCGCACACACAATAGGGCGATTAGTGGCTCCCGGTGCAGCCAGTCAGAGAGCCTCAGCAGCCGGAGGAAGCTGAGGGGATGCTGCCGGTGGTGGGTGGGTGGAGGGTGGCGGTATCGGTGGCGAGGGTGGGGGTGCGGGGGGGCTACGCAACAATCCCAGTCTTTGGACATCCTCTCTCTCTCGAGAGAGAGAGAGAGAGAACACACGCGTGTTGCGGGCCGGAATCAGCGGGACAAACCATGCAAAGCATTTCTTTTTAGAACTTTGCACCTGACATGCAGCTTAACTTTGAAGCTCACGCACAGCGCGCTGTTTTCGAGCGGTAATCGACGTCTGATTGGCAACATGTGGCACCCGAAAAATTAGGCACCTCTCACGGAGCGCCGAGTCCCCAATTCTTATTCCCCCACCCCAGTGATGGAATGAAGGCGAAGCCAATCATGGATGATAAGTCCGGGAAGCTCATCCTGGTTCCTATCCTGGCTGTGCTTTTTGTCACGATAGGCTACCAGTACATCTGTCCCGCCGGCAGCCATTCGTGTCCGCTGCAAAACGGAGAGGCACCGCGGGGAGTGAGCTTGCTCTCCGCCGGGTACCAGGACGGGGATGATTTCGTGGACCAAGACCTGGAGGACGACAATCCCGCCAAGCTGCCGTCCCAGTTCAACTTCACGCAGCGAGACCTGGACCGACGCGTGGAGTTCAACATGAAAGGGGACGACGTCATCGTGTTCCTGCATATCCAGAAGACCGGCGGCACCACGTTCGGCCGGCACCTGGTGAGGAATATCCGCCTGGAGCAGCCGTGTGACTGCAAAGCCGGCCAGAAGAAGTGCACCTGCCACCGGCCGGGCAAGGACGAGTCGTGGCTCTTCTCCCGCTTCTCGACGGGATGGAGCTGCGGGCTGCACGCCGACTGGACCGAGTTGACCAACTGCGTGCCTGTCATCATGGATAAAAAGGAGGTCCAGAGGAATAAAAGGTAAACACAAACTACAAAACCACACGCGCGCCTGCACGTAACTTCTAAAATGTCTTTAAAAGAGCAGCTCAACATAACCCCCCCCCCGCCCAAACTTTTCCACATTGTTTACAAATTACTTTATTTCTTTATTTATTTCTACTTTAAGTCAATATATTGTCATTTTTATTATCTATCACAGTGGTAGGCAATGTATGGCCCGCGAATCAGGTCCTGCCATTCGTTAATCAGCCGGCCCATGCACCAAGCATTTACAATGGGGTCTCAAACTCAGGTCCTGGAGGGCCGCTGTCCTGCATGTTTTCCAAGTCTCCCTGTTGCAACGCACCTGATTCAAATGAACAGGTTCAATGTCAGGCTTCCGCAGAGCTTGCTGATGATCTGATCAAGTTTCGTAAAAAATGCACTTTTTCATTGTAAAATACAAACGTACGTGTAAATATACATTGTTCATCTTGTCACATAATTGGTTAAAGCTAATTCAATTTATTGGCAGAAAACATGTCATGTTAAGTTCACTGATGGCTAAACTAAGTGCGAATGTGCGTGAATAGTCGTTTGCGTTTGCCTGCTGACCATGCAGATAAGCGTTAAAGAAAATGCTTGGATAAATGATAACATTTTAAACACATGCACATTTTAACTTGGTTTTTATGAATGACCCAGCCCATCCACCCACTATAACAATCAAATGTGTACCTCAAGCACAAAAGCCAGGGGTGGACAACTCCTGATACAGGATAAAATTTTCCTTTGTGGAAAACTTTCACGCAAGACGCTGATTGTCCAAAAACAACAAATCACCCTGCAATTAGGGATTTTTTGTTTTGGGAGTATGAATACCTGCAACCTGAGAGAAAAACCAGCCTCTCACACTCAGCATGCAAACTATAAATAGACAAAAGGTTCTGGTCCTTGTGTTGCTCATCAGTCCCACACAATGAGGCTCTGTCTATTGCTGTGCCGCTAATGTTATTCCATTGCTGCTGCAGTCAGGCCCATTAACCAACTGTATACGGGATCCCTTCTCAGTGATGTTATTTGCTAAGATGTGTTTAAGCACCCCCTGTGTTTACTTTAATGGCCAATAGATCACCGCTCTCGACTTGCACAATTGTTTTGAGAGACTCTACATCCCAAACACACACAGACTCACTGAACTGTGATGTTTAAAAAAAAAAAAGTGTCCCTCTAATACAGACATCTCTCCTAGCCTGGTATGAGGTGAAATGTGTCACAGTTTCTTTTTTATTTTTATTTTTTAATGTACTTCCTCTATTTTCTTCTATAAATGGCCTTCGGAGTTACTTTACTCAACTGCAGAGTAGCCTGAATTTATTAAAGGAAAGATGTGTATTTATTTCCATGTACTGATACATTTTAAAAGAACATTTAAAAACATTTTTTGAAAAATAATCCTATTTGTGTTCAATATGACATCCTGGATGTTTATTCTATGACACAATATCAAAGCGGCAAACAGGAGTGACTTGGCCCTAGTGGCTGATTCAAAACCTTCCATGACCCACTTCCTGTTCGGTTTCTGGTATGGATCCTTGAGACTTTTTTGAGGCGAGGCGTTTGATTGTTGATGAAACATAGCTTCAAGTAGAGCCGAGGTCACTGTATTCTAGGTCTTGATCAGGAATAACCTAATGGACACATTTGATTTGTGAATTAGCATACTTGATCGTGGTTGGAACGTTTGCCTCACGGGTCTGAGGGTTTGAATTCAAAACCCGTCATTGTCCTTCCTCTGTTGAGTTTGCATGCTCTCCCTGTGCTTCCTCAAACATTCCAAAAACATAGATGTTGGGTCCATTGATGACTCAGAGCAAGTTTTTTTCACCAAGTACCACTTGGCTCTCCAAATATCACCATGATGGCCAACAATAAAATACAGTCTCATAGCAGGCCTAAGTGTTCAGCAAAAGAAGGCAGAGGTTTTATTTATTGAATATTTTTGTTATCCACTGTAACATGGCACAATTTGATCATTGTACCTGAATATATATTAAAAAAAAAAAAAGTTAAATGGCGATTTTAATGAAACTGATGTTAATGAAAATTAAAACAAACAGTTCGAAAAGCCTAACTGCAAATGTTTTGTCGGTAAAAGGTAAATTCATCTGAACCACAATGGCAGTACAACAAATGCACGTGGCTGGATTTTAAAAAAAAGTTAGGCCACTGTAAGAGTCTGCACGGTTTGAACATTTAAATTAGAGATTTTTTTTTTTTTGCGATCCACAAGAGAGAGCCCTCGGAGTGCTAATGGTATTCGTACCATACTTGGCAAATCACGGCTCTAAATTGTTCCTAAGTGTGAATCGGAGTAAGTACGATGAGACCATGCAAAAGCCACCACGCAAGGACGCCCAACCCGAGATTCAAACCCAGAACCTCAGAACTCTGAGGCAGACATGCTAACACCACTAGCACAACGAGCTTCTCCGAATTTTTACTTGATGATTCCATCATCCAAAATTAATAGTCTATGCCTTTAATTGTATTAACCATCAAGGATGGTTGGAAAAAGATAGGTTGGCAATTTTTACTCTGCGGTGGTGTAAACGACACATGTACTGCTTCTATAAAGATTCATGAGCCCCCCAATTTTTTTTTCTTCTCTCAACAGAACTGCCGTATGCTTTATTCAGTGGATCTGCAAGTCTTTAAAAAGCACTGCACATTAGGCTAGTCATAAAACGACGCATTAAAGCTGCATCAGTCAGAGTTATCTCCTCAAAACGTAGCTACATGTGCGCATATCAGATTAGAAAAGGGGCGGGGGGGGGGGGGCGAAGAAAGCACTGCCGGAAATCTTTGAAAGGCAGCAAGAAGTTCCCATCTCTTGTTTTGAAAGCTACAATTGCACGCTGATGTATTAAAAAAAAGAAAAGAAAACAGGCGCGCATGATTTATTTCTGCTGCGCCAAGTGTGTTTCCTCCACTCAGAGAAGTGCTCAGTGGATGCGACAGCCCTTCATTTCACAGCTGCAGCATCCACTCTGAGCTCACAGTCCTCCCGGAACCGTGTACTTAAATCCCGCGGCGTCCATTCTGAGGCCATTCTGCCTCCTCTTCCTCATCTGGGACATATTTTGAGATGAGTAATAGCTTTATGCACATATTACCTTGGTACATCAGCATATTCCGCTGTAATGCCTTAATTAAAGATTCGTCAATTACAGCACGTCTTCAGTTAGTTGTGAGTTTTTATTTACTTAACTGCAGAAAGTGCAAGGTCGCTATTTGAGGGTCAAGTCTTTGTGTAAGCTTTACAGATGCTATCGGCGCGTGGTACGAATATGTGGTGACACACAGGGTGGTATCAGGCATAGTTAAGGTCACAACAGACCAATTAAGCTTATTTTTTCCAGTCTGGACAAAAAGATTTGTTTTTCCATTCTTTATGAAAACTGACACATAGAGTAAATCGAGTCAAGGGCAAGGCTAAATATTCCAGACCTTTTGTTTCAACTCGTACTCCCGTCTGCAACCGTTAAATTCAGATTGTATGCCATATTTTGCCTCTCATAGTGACCGAGGGTCTCAGTGTAGGTGCTCACCTCAACGCCTGATGGAAGATGGAGATGGAAGTGAGTTGAAGGTTGAGGTTGGGTGCAAAAGGCGCATGATAGTGGACTCACCTTCACCATACTGTATTGGCCTTTACAGCCCGGGCACGGCCGAGCTGGCCGCCCTGCCCAGGAAAGGTCGGCCGTGTCACAAATGATCAGTGTGTATGTCCTGCGGTGTGGCTCCTCTGGAGTATGCTGTTTGTCAGCGGGGAATTTCCACACATAAAACAAATAAATTGTATTAAAAGTCAATCAAAAACAATCACACCTGAATAAAAAAAAAAAAGAGCATAAGGAATTTTAAGTATAATATTTTGTCCATAATTCAATCGATCAATAACTTGTGTCGATGTGCGGCCAGCATCGATATCCAGTGCCTGGCGATGTCACGAGATCACGGGACAGACACATCGATGAAGTAGATGTTTCATAGCACCCCGAATATATATGCACATGTGCTTTTCATTTCAACAGCATTGTCACCGCAATTTATGCAGATGACTCAAGTCTTTAAAAATCAGATATAAAATGGTCATTAGACACTTTCTTGCCGCTGATGTATAATGAATGCTTACAAGAACAAAGCCACAGCCTGAATACAACACATTACAACAGTGCAATATTAATAGTAATTACTGAATGCCTTCCACAGTTTCTGTAATTCCCCACTATATTTAAGTTCCTCCTTTCTGCAATCCTTTGTTGAAAAGATCCATCACTTTAATGTCTTACAAGGTTGCTACTGAAGTAAAGGACTGTTGTTACTTACATGCCTCAGCAGTGATGTGCCCTAATACTTTGCTAAATAACATCTCCCCTAATATTTTATTCATAATAATTGATGCGGAGAGGAGCTCCATTTACTGTATAGTAGTTTCAATTTACAACTCAGATTGTTAAATCATGCATGTCTGTTCGCCAGACCTAACCCGTGTCGTTCATCACTGTTGGCCTCGTTCCTCCCCTCACAGTGTTGAATGGAGCTAAGCATTATTATTAAATCAGTTTTAGTGCGTTTAGCACAGTTCAATGGAAATCCTGTGGTTGAACACCTTCTGTCCTGTTATGCTGGACAACCTACTGTACGATTTATTAAAAAAATATATTTGCAAAATTTTGTGACTAGAAGGCATCTACCCTGAAAATGTGAATATATTAATAGTCTTTTTATGTATTGAAAACAATTCTTTAAAATCTGAATGACTAAACAGAAATTGATACATATACAGTAGTCTGTACACACAAGAGGCTGAAAGAAGGAAGTGGAAAATGTTGAAAGTCCATTTTATACTTTTGTATTGATGATGCTCTCATTACAATGATGGGATTTTGGGTTTATTACGTGTGGATGCGCCTTCACAGAGCTTGTTGTTCAGGGGACCGGAGATTGCTTTTGTGTGTATGTGTGTCATTAAT